TGTCAATATGGACCAAAATCTCTGAGGAATGCTTCCAGCACCTTGTTGAATCTATGCCACGAAGAATTGAGGCAGTTCTGAAGGCAAAAGGGGGTCGAACCCGTTACTAGCGTGGTGTACCTAATAAAGTGGCCGGTGAGTATATATATAAGTTATTTTTTTTCCTTCTCCATGTTTAAAGTCTTTGAATTAAAAAAAATTATTGGCTTCAGTCACAACTTCACTTCTCAACGCTCCATCAATGAAATATTATTTTATTTTGAAAAAAATAAATAAATACGACATAACGACTGTCAAAGTGAACTAATGTGAAACTTGCTGTGGAGTGGAAGTGGTCCTCAGCCTCACTGTGTTTTATTCACAATTATCCAAACTCAATAAGTAATAAGGTATGATCTTAGTGAGCAGTAAATCAGAAGAGTCAGATTGGTTCATTTTTATTAGGGCTTTAGGGCTCTAACACAGTAAAGATCAGGTCTGGGACCTGCTATAAAAAGTTATATATGAACTTAGCCAAATAAACTTCCAAATAAAATCAAAAACAATTAAAATGCGCATCTTTTGTCAACACTGTGAACACCTTTTGAATTTACCAGTGCTATTTATTTTTTACAAAGAGTGGCATTTTAGTGCCACTTGCTGGAGAGTTACAGTACTACAAGGCAGATTATTCCAGTCAACGAGCAGCTAAATATACACAGAACTAAACTAATGCATGGTACCTAATAATAAGTATAATATTTTATTTATTTTTAATTAAATAAATAAATAACCCCTAAGTTTGTACATTGGAATTTATGTGTGCAATGCAAACAAGCAAGTAATTAAAGTCTTATCAGCTGGTTGCATGGGTGCAGTCAAAGGGATGGTCATCTGCAGCACCAAGTTTATCTTTGAAACACAGAAACTGAACAGTAAACTGCTAAGTAAACCATTTATGGTTGACATGGAAAAAGCACCTGCAAACATAGGACTGATAACTCCAGAGGTGTCAAGTAACAAAGTACAAGTACTTTCGTACTTTACTAAGATAGATATCTTGGTCTTCTCTTCTTAACTGGAGTAATTATTTTAACTTTTTAATTCTTACATTTTCACACAATAATCTGTACTTTTTCTCCTTTTATTCCTATTTCAATTTGGCTTGTTTTCATTCCAGTTTGTCATTATTAAAATACTATCCAGATATATGGTGCCTCCTGCATCTGCAGGGGTTAGACAATGAAACTGAAACACCTGGTTTCAGACAGCTTCCTCTTGCGTCCACAGTTAATCCTGTTGGATGTGGTTGGTCCTTCTTGGTGGTATGCTGACATTAGCCTGGATACTGTTGCTCTTGATACATCATAAAGACTTGCTGTCTTGGTCACAGATGCACCAGCAAGACGTGCACCAACAATTTGTCCTCTTTTGAATTCTGGTATTTCACCCAAAATGTTGTGTGCATTGCAATCTGCAGTTAATGAAGATTGGCCACCAGCCTGGTCCGATTTAGCCATGAAACCTCCCACACTAACATGACAGGGTTTCATTTTCATTGTCCAACCCCTGTACATGTGAATGGATGAAAAGTATAAATACATTTTATTCTGACACCCTATTGGTTTGTAAGCGATCCGTGGCACTATCAAATAACACAAATCATGTCGCACTCCAGCATCCTCACTTGTATTTTAATTTTAATAATTAATTATATTGTAGATCAGAAAAGTACTTTTGATACTTAAGTACAGTGAATATCAGATGTTTAAAGACTTGTACTCAAGTAATATTCTTAAAGGAGACTGTATCTTTTATCAAAGTTATTTTATGGAATTGAGGTACTAACATGTAAAACTCCAGTATAAAATATAACCTGCTCACATACCCTGTATGTTTGGTACCATATTACCTGTGTGAACCGCTTTTTTCAGAGATGGAGGTGAGCAAAACCACACAAAGATCTAAGTCATCTTACTGATGCACATTTCCACAGTAAGTGTCCAGTTTCCACTGATCAGAAACAAGCATTGATCAACTTGCACCAAATAAAAAGGTGTAAATCTTCCAACTCAGACAAAACAGCTCTGAGAATGCTGTTCAATTCCACATTTGAGTTTAAAATAAGATGAGTTTAGTTGTTAAAACTGTTCATTTTGTTTCAAAAAATGTTAGTTCTGTTCAGCCCACAGCATATTCCATGTTTCATGTTTTGGCCCTACGGTCATTGAGTTTGACACTCCTACTCAAAAAGATTTCAAGGTCAACATAGCTTAAACAAAAGCTATGTGAATGCTTTTGGAAACTTAGTACAAAAAGTAAGGAAATTTGTGTTTGGTTGATTTTGTCCTTGTTGTAAAAATGTTTCTTGGCAATAAATCGTATCCTATTGGAAAGCCTGATAATTCCCCTTTTAAATGATGCCACATTTGTAAGAAGTTCAAGTTTATTTATATAGCACCAAGTCACAACATACGTTGTCTCAGGGCACTGTACATAAAAAGAACTATCTAAAGAAGAAACCAGCAGTCTGTGTTGAATCACTTCATCACAGTCTCCCATCCTGAGCAAACGATGGAGAGGAAAAACTCCCTGCTAATCAGGAAGAAACCTCCAGCAGAACCAGGCTCAGGACAGGCGGCCATCTGCCTCGACCGGCTGGTTGAGGGACAGGAAAGAGACAGGTAGACACAGAAGAACTGGTCTGAGACTGGTCCAGGTGCACCTTCTTCTGGAAGAGAGACAAAAAGAAAAAACATGTTATTGGTAGAAATAATTAGAATAAAGA